AAGATGAGTCAGAATCTGAGGTTTCTGAAGATGACTCAGAGTTAGAAGATGACTCTGAAGCTGAAGACAAGTCAGAATCCGAAGGTGATTCTGAGTCTGAAGAAGAATTAGAAGATGACTCAGAATCTGAAGGAGATTTTGCTTCTAAAGATGCGTCAGAATCTGGAAGTTCTGAAGGTGAGTCAGAGTCAGAGGATGAAGAAACTTTTGGAGACTCTAAAATGAGTCAGATGGTGAATTTGATTCTGATCTAAATTTTGAATCGGGTGGTGGTCATGCTTATAGAAGGGAAAACTCTAAAGATGTAGGTTCTGGAGGACAGACTTTTGAAGATGATCATGTTTTTGGTGAAAATTATGTCTTTGAAGGTGGAACTTCTGAAGGAGGAGCTTTTAAAGGTAATCCAGCCTTTGACGGTGATCATGATTCTGAAAGTGGAACTTCTGAAGGCAGAGCTTCTAAAGGTGATCCAACTTTTAAAGATGGTATTTCTGAAGGTACTGGTTCTGAACGATGTCCAGAAGCTAACAAAGGTGGAGCTTCTGGTGGTAGTCAAATTTTTAATGAATGTCCAGAAGGAGATATTGTTCCAGAATCAGAAGGGGATTTTGAACAAGTTCATAGGCCACATAGAGTCAGAAATATATCAAGGAGATTTGCAGAGTTTGACAAGCTGCAAGATACTGAAGAGACTCTGAGGTATGAAGTGTTATTCCCTTCTAGTGTTAGATCAGATGCAGAGCCGATATGCTATTCAGACTCTAATTTGTATGGAGACAGAGTTGACAGAAGAAATACTTATGAATATTTTTGTTTGTATCTGGAAAGTTCTATTTCTTGGTGCTCCAAGAAGCAACTGGTGGTTGCGATGTCAACTTGTGAAGCTCTTAAGAAGAAAGCGTGTCTGAAGGCCGTGAAAGAAGATCTTGATGCTATTGAAAGAAACATGACTTGGGAGTTGACTGAGCTTCCGAAGGAGAAGGAAAACATCAGCGTTAGATGGGTTCTCAAAGAGAAATCTGCACTTCTAAATGAAGTATTAGAAGTTACACACTGTAGCAACCAGAAACAATTTGAAGACGTTTTGACGAAGGATGTCAAGACTGAATACTTTATCTGTTTGAGGGATGAAATTGGTGTTGAAGAGTTTTGGTTAGCTGAATATGAATTAAGGGATAATGTTGGAAGTAATTCATATTCAGAAGATGTTGTTATTCAGAAATAGTAGAGCTTCTGAGGTTGTTAGCTAAAAGTTGTTAGCTTATGAGACTGCTTAGTTAGAAGCAGTAGTTTGATGTAATCAGAAGTTGTTATTAGTCAGAAGCAGAAGCTTCTAAGGTTACGCCCAGAAGTATGCTTAGCTTCTGGAGTTCTGGAGCTGAGTTTGTTAACGTAGTTGTTAAGTTTAGTATTTTCTAATTTGCACATTTTAACTTAGTCATTAAATTTATCTTTTATTAGGGTCTACGCGACAGTTTACTTTTTGTATAAATAAATTAGTAGTAGCAATCATTTGTATAATTCTTTTATAAACTTTCTAGTCGTTATTGCAGTAAATATATTCTCTTATTTTTGTTCATTTATTAATCTTATGCACCAACCGATAAATGTATCTTAGATGTCTCCTTTAGATAATTATCGAGTCAAATTTTGTTCTTTGATAGTTACAAAAATAAAATAAAAATGCTTGTATTTGAGGAGGCCGTGCCAATAACATTGAGAAGTCTAACATTGGTATTTCCAATATTTTAATTTTCTTCTACTAATGGTGGGGATATACACACACTCCTTTTGATTATAAGTAGAACGGTAGAAGTACTGAATCTCATGTATTTATTTATAAAAAAACAGTTAAATGTAGTTAAGGCCTGTTTGGATTAGCTTAACTGAGTTCATTTATTGACTTAAATTTTGTAAAACTATTCAAACAAACATAACCTTAATATTCTTTATCTAATAAAAAATATGTAGATTCTCAAAAATATGCTCTTTAGAATAATTTTAAGATTAATATTATCAAATTAAATATTTAAAAATAATAATTTTTAAATATACGATGTTCTAGTTTAATACCAATAACTGAATTTTGTAACACTACAAAACTTAAATCTCCTAGAGAAAAATAGTATAACAACTTTAATTAAAAAATATTAATAAATATCTTTCAAACAAAATAATAATAGCCATTAGGAATTCAGGTATATGTAAACATGAATTAAGATTTACCGCGTACATGTTAGGTTTATTTAGTCTTGAAGTCTCATAACTTAATTTTAGATTTTAGTTTGATTTCTTATGTAATAAATATTACAAATAAATTTTTTTAACAATACTTTCGTTAGTTAACTAGGTCCATTCTATTAATTTGGCTGTGAAAACATTAACTTCTATGTGGCAAGACAATAAGACAAGGCTGAGTCTACATGACATGACTGAATCAGCATATAGACTAAAAAAATTAGTGTTTTATTTAAATTGCGGGGGTTTTGTTTTCGGAGGTTAAAAATCCCCACAAATTGTTAAAAATGTGTAAAAAAAATATAATAATTATTCTCCCGTAAGTTTTTAAATAAAATATTATTTTAATGTTGAAACTTTTATAAATTCTGCACATAACCAACAAAAAAATCTACCAAATAAACTATACAACAACTTAATTTTCATATCACATTAACCAAAAAAAGAATATAAAATATATCATTCTAAATCAATCCAAAACATTAGTAACTACACATGCAATTTATACGCATGCAATCTATACAATATATATAAACAAGATTCTTCAAAATCATTAAAATTTTATTCCCCACAGCTAATTACAACAAATACATTCTTCATTCTTCCACTGAAAGTCGCAAAATCCGCTTTAATGATTACGAGACGAAGAGTCTCTAGTGCTTGTATTATACTAAACAATAAACCAGATTGATACTCACAACACATTGATATTTTAATAGAACAAAGAAAACCATTGAATCTACATTCTTGTTCTTCAACACTTAATTAGAGGGAGCTAATAATTTTTGTTACATGAATCTATAAGAAATTGTTAAGTTTCATGGTGGCATAAACAAACCTACTGGTAATGCAATACTTCATTCCAATATAGCAGTCTTGGTATCTCTCCACTTGAACTTATTTCTAGCAAGATTGTTGAAAACATGATAAAAAAGTGATTAAATCCAACTATTATACAAGCAAAATAGAAAATGAAAACATGTAATTAACTAGAAAAAGCAATATCTTATCAATTATGAATGTAGTTAAGTATTCACATAATGACATAATATGAACTCACATAGTCTTGAGGTTTGGAATTTGTGATAAAGTTAACAAACCAGGTTGATACACAGGTCTACAATGAAACATAGAAGTAAATTAGCTTTTTCAATCAAAAGCAAAATCTCAATACAATTACTTGCCTAATCTATCCTCAACTGTATGATTCAGAACAACTTGAAACAACTTTTACACAATGCATAACACCAAGACACATGACAAAAATAATTTTCTTCAAGAATCAAGAACTTAACCAAAATAATAATGACAATAATAGTAGTTCTTTCAAGAAAATACAACTTATGGAAAATACTATAACAAAATGCCCTCAAACTTCACTCAGATCGAAAACTGAATGGTTTTCGAACCTGACGCACGACCAAGACCTCCTTCTGCAACAAACTTTAATGACCTTCATGTTCAACGGTATTGTTTATGCGAGGTGCAACGAACCTGCAAGAGAGACGAATTTACAGTGAATCAATTCAAAGATTCAGAGTGTTGAGTTGTTGTCTCTTAATCTAAAAATATTGAGTGCTTAGAATCTTAACTGCAGATGTAAAAGATAATAAAGAACGAAAAAGATTTAAAAAAAACAACATTTACCTACTCCAAAAATTTAGAACATTTTGTAGTATCAGAAATTTCTACCGAGGAGCCATGAAACGGGCACCAGCGTTGGGTGTTTCATAAAATCGCTTCCTCAACCTTAGACTTGAAATAAATCAAAATATTTTTCTCAAACTCTTTAAGATCGGAAATAAAATTACTTTCTTCTTTGTAAGAAGAACATTTCTCAACTGTCTTTAAGGGTTTTGATTCTTCCACTGACAGTGAGGAGGAGTTTTACAATAGATTGATGAGGAGTTTTAGAGATCTGAGTTCTCTAAGCTTTTAAAGTTTGATTGAGGAGGAGTTTTATTGTTGATGATGATGAGGAGTGATAAAAATGGTGATGGTCAAAGGAAGAAAAGGTGACAACTAGAGTTAAGGAAGAGAGGATAAGAGAGAAACTTAAGACTACAAAATATATTTCAATTTTTTATTTTTAAATTTTAATTTTAAATTAATATAAAATAAAATAATTTCAAGTCATATAACCTAGAATCAGCTGGTATGCCACACATTCATAAGTTAATGGAATTTGACAAAATTTAACGGATATGACCAATGAAATTAACGGAATAACATTTAAAGGACTTAAAACGAATATTTATTAAATAAGAAATTAAAGTAAAATTTTAAATTAAATTAAGGGACTAAAAAATGTATTAAGTTTAATAACTTTGTTACTATTATGAATTATACTTTTAAAAATAAATTATATTTTATAAATTATTTAAAGAATGAGATCACGACACTTGTTAGAGTGACGAAAGTAAATGGAAATAATTAGAAATAAATATACAAGTAGTTTCCAATAAGTCAACCCGGGTCCCAAGTAAAATAAGAGATATAGCCGTTGCACTTGTCTCATTAAGACATAGATTCATTCGACCGTTGTAAACCAAACCGTTACTCATTGTTCTTGTTTCTTTCAGATCAAAACTCTTGCCAAACTCTGAAACCAAAAGCAAAAAAGGTTTGTGGTCCGTGTTAGAGAGAGAGAGAGAGTGTGAGTTTAGATCCAATCTTTGGTTGGGTGAATGAAAGTGTAAGTGATTGAGTTGAAAATTCTAATTTGAGACCCACCTCTTGTGTTTAGTTTTTGTTTTCTCAAGATGGTTGCAAGAACCCCACCAAAACTGAGGAAAACTTTAGCTGCTCTCAATCCTGTTCTTATTAGAGAAACACTCAACAAGGTAATTACTGACATATAAAATTCTAATTTTGTTCTTTTTTTTCTCTCTCTTGATTGTGAATGGTTCTTTTTGGGTTTTGAAGGTGGATCAATGCATGGCTCGATTGCAAGAACTACAGTATACTGTAACTGGTGGAAACAAGGTGGTGTCAGGGGCCAATCTCAGCCCTCGTAGCACTAGAGGTTATCTCAGAACTAGTCTCAGGTGCAAGCAAGAGTCACTCAGGTACTTTTTCTTTGTTTCATTCATGGCCATATTTGATTTAATCTACTAAGCACCTAATCCGATATGGACATCGGGACATAATGTAAAAAACACAAGACACATCTGTATTGTCTGACTTTTCTTTTTCAAGTACGAATGTCATACACATTGTGTCTTAGTTGTTAACTCAAATGGTTTTGCCTTTTCTTGCCATTCTCAAGGATCAAGAATAGTTCCACAAGAAAATCTCCTGCAGGAAAGTTTCCCTCAACACCAAACACAGGTACTTTTCTCTTGCAAAACCACTTCCAACTTTCTTATCAGTTAATAATAAAACTTTCTATTGACTTGTGAGCCCTTATATAGGTGAATGGAGGAGAATGTCATTGCCTGCAATGCTTGTAGGAGAAACCATTGGAGAAATTTTACATGCTAGTCAATTTGCAAGAGAAGTTGTTTCAGCAGTTAGTTGCAAAACTCCTTCCAAAGAGGATCCAAAAACTCCAATCTCTCAAAGGCCAAACAAGAAAATAAACCTTGAAAACACACAACTTAGGACTAGAAGGAAGAAAGAAAAGCAAACAAAACTACACAATGATGGATCTCCCACACTTCAAAAAGCTCGGTCGAAAATCACTTTTAAGGTTTCTCCACCAAAAGTTAGAGATTTTGATAGAGAAAATAACAAGTATTTGTCCTTGGCTAATAGGGTATCTCCAAGGAATAGACCATGGTCTAAAAAAGCAGTTCTTTTTCCCAACCCTTTGTTCATGTCAACTCATGCTTCTTCATCATCATCACAGCTACAGCAGCAACAGTTTTGCAAAACAAGGTCTCCTATCATTTCAAGAAATAGAGGAACAACAACACCGCACAAGTTTTTGGTCAAGTCTCCACCTTCAAATTCCAAAGTCAAGATCAAAAGCACAACTAGAACTAGTAATGTGTCGATTTCACCACACAAGTTTTTGATAAAATCTCCACCTTCAAATTCAAAAGCCAAGCTCAAAAACACAGCTGTGTCTATTTCACCTACAAGACTTGCAAGTTTGAGCAAGAATTCTCCAAAGAGATCGACTGCGTCTAAATTTCGTCGATCTTTCTCTCCTTCGAGACTAGCTACAAGATTAGTTTCTCCATTAAGGAGCAAGAGAACTGCACAGAAGAGTGATGGGATTGTAAGTGGACTGAAACAACGCCCTGCATCAACAATTCAATTCCCTGCTAGAAGAATTTAAGAACATACCTTGATTATACTGTCACTTTGCTTTCCTTATGTCCATAATAATTGTATTCTTGTGTGATTTTATTTGTTGAGGATTTTCCTTATGTCAATAGCTATTTTATCTTCATTCATTCAATTGAATTCACAAATTCTTTGCTTCTATTCTTTATTGCTATGGTCATTAAAATCAACATGGTTGATGGATATGTTGGTTGGTGGATAGACACCAGCGCCTCTCGTTGTGTCTGTTATGGTCGTGTTATGTTTAAACATACACGAATACTAAAGATAAGAAAGTGTTGCTTGGAGATGGCCAGACCATGAATGTTGCTGGAATTGTAGACATGGAGCTAAATTTCACCTTCAAAAAGACTTTATCTTAAGGAACGTTATGCATGTTCCTAAGATTAGAAAGAATATTGTTTTTGGTTTTCTTTTAATAAGACATGGTTTAGTCAGTCTATTGGGGTAGATTTATACGCCACTACGAAGAATGAAGTTTATATGTTTAAATTTTTTGTAAAGAATTTGAAAATGATATAATAAGAATTTATAGTGATAGAGGAACTGTACGAGTCTAGTTTATTAATGAATTTTATACATGGAATTGTACATGAAACGACTGCACCATACTATCTTGCAATGAATGGTAAAATAGAAAGAAAGAATAAAACTTTTACTGAACATGTTGTTGCAATTATGATGAATTATGATGTTGCTCCTCACTGGTGGGGGAAATTTTATTGACTGTTTGCTATGTCCTGAATAGAGTCCCAAAGTCAAAATGTAAGATCTCTCCTTATGAGATATTAAAGAAAAGACAATCAAACTTGTCTTATTTGAGAACTTGGGGTTGTCTGACTTATGTCAGAATTCTGGATTTGAAACGAGTTAAACTCGTTAGTAGAGCATATGAATGTGTTTTCATTCAGTGTGCAGCAAACAATAAAGCATATAGGTTTTATGACCTAAAGGCAAAAGTGATCATAAAATCAACTGATGTTGAATTCTATAAAGACAAATTTCCTTTCAAATTGAGAAATAGTGGGGGCACACAATCGAGTCACATTCATGTGATAAGAAGCACAGAAAGCAACGACAATGTAGAAACAAAACTTCAACGAAGTAAACGAGTAAGAGTTGCTAAAGACTATGGGCCTGATTATGCGGCTTATAATGTAGAAGAAGATCCAATGAATCTTCAAGAAGCCTTGCCATCTCTGAATGTTTAGTTATGGCAAGAAGCTATCAATGATGAGATATAATCTCTAGAATCTAACAAGACCTGACACTTAGTAGACTTGCCTCCTGGTTGCAAACCAATCGGGTTGTAAATGGGTTTTGAAAAAGAAACTAAAACCTGATGGAACTATTGATAAATACAAGGTTTGCCTTGTTGCCAAGGGTTTTAGACAAAGAGAAAATATAGATTTCTTCGACACCTTTTCTCCTGTCACTAGAATTACATCCATTAGGGTACTTATTTCAATAGTTGCTATTTATAACTTAATAGTACACCAAATGGATGTTAAAACAACTTTTTAAACGGTGACGCAGAAGAAGAAATCTATATGAAACAACCGAAAGGGTTTGTGATCTATGGATAAGAAAACAAGGTCTGTAAGTTAGATAAGTATTTGTATGGGCTAAAACAAGCTCCAAAGCAATGACATGTAAAGTTTGATAACTTAATGATATCGAATGTGTACAAAGTGAATGAAAGTGACAAATACGTTTATTACAAATTTGAGAATTGTATTTGCACTATCATATGTCTATATGTAGACGATTTACTCATATTTAGATCAAACATTCAGGCCATTAATGATATGACATCGTTGTTGTGAAACAACTTTGATATGAAAGACCTCGGAGAAGTGAGTGTGATTCTTGGTATCAAGATCACAAAATCCGAGCAAGGAATTTCTTTGGATCAATCACAATATGTGAAAAAGATCTTAAAGAAATATAATTACTTTGACAGTAAACTTGTGAGCACACTAAATGATCAAATCGTGAAGCTGTTTAAGAACATTGGTGAAAGTGTTAGACAAATAGAACATGCGAGCATCATTGGAAGTCTTAGGTATTCCATTGATTGTACTAAACTTGACATTGCATATGTCGTGGGATTGTTGTGCGGGTTTACTAGTAGACCGAGTAATGAACATTAGCAAGCTATTGAGCGATTCACACGGTACCTTAAAAGGACCATGAATCTCGGTTTTCATTATCATAGATTTCCTATTCTACCTAAAGGATACAATGATGCAGATTGGAATACCTTATCAGATGATTCCAAAGAAACTAATGGCTATGTATTCAACATAGCTAGATGATTTGTATCTTGGAAATCAAAGAAACATACTATCCTGAGAATATAGCATTAGCGACTGCTAGTGGAGAAGCAAGTTGGTTAAGATGCTTGCTAACTGAGATTCCCTTATGGGAAAAACATATGTCAGTTGTGTTGATCCACTGCGATAGTACCGTGGCTATTGCAAAAATTGAAAACCGTTATTATAATGGTAAAAGACGTCAAATAAGAAGAAAGCATAGCATTGTTAGAGAATGTATCTCTAAAGGAGCTGTAAGAGTGGATCATGTACGCACTGATGAAAATTTAGAAGATCCTTTGACGAAAGGATTAGCTAGAAAGAAAGTCTATAATACATCATATAAGATGGGACTAATTCCTATAGAAAAATAAGTTGCTCATGATGGTAACCTGACCTAAATGACTGGAGATCCCAAGAAATAGGTTCAATGGGTAATAACAAGTTATGAGTAATATGAGATGATCATGCAAGTAAAGCATGAATCCTGAAGTAATAAGAGGATGAGATAATAGAAACTCTTAATGAGATCTATACTTTGTATGAGGGAGTACCTAGGCTACAAGAGTACTCTTGATAGACTCACATATGTGATTGTGGAACTTAGATCGGTTCCTATGGAATTTCGAGGCAGAATTCCTAGAGCCTTCATTAAACTGGGATACACGTGCAGGACCATTAAAGCACGGGCTATTAGAATACACCTTAAGAAAAGGTTGTGTGCAGGTTTAATGTCTGAGATAGAGTTTAAGACATTTGTGTCACTCTTGTTGAATTGGAATCCTACTTGCTATGCAAAGGTTCAAGTCCTAGACACCTTTGTTTATGCACAATCTTAGAAACATTTGACGTTACTTCTAAAATCAATTTTTTAAATTCAAGTGGGGGATTGTTGGAACATGTCCATGTTTCAATATGTTGAATTTAAAAATTTCTCAAGTCCCACATTGTTAGAATATTTTTTTGGTTGAAAAAACCATTTAGTCCCACATTGCTCATGCGAGAAATATTAACTATCCTACTTCACTATATAAGGAGTGCATATGTTTCATTCCAAATCACACCAAAAACTATTCTATTAGTTTTTCGTTCCTCACTCTCATAACTCTGCGTCTCTCGAATTGTCGAAGCGCCATCTTCTTCCCCTTTCTTCCTACTCGTTGAATTTTCCGAGTATTTTCTTGAATTCCTTTAGAGAATTATGTTAATTTCTCCTCATTTGAGTTGAGAAATTTTCAAGTTTAATCTTTTGGATTCTCTTTGGAGAATTATTTGAATTTCTCTTTGTTGGAGAAATTATTATGAGTGGTCAAATTACCATTATTAATTTCTCTTTGGAGAATCATTTGAATTTCTCTTTGTTGGAGAAATTATTATGAGTGGTCAAATGACCATTATTAATTTCTCTTTGGAGAATTATTTGAGTTTCTTTTTGTTTAAGAAATTATTATGATTGGTCTTTGTACCATATACTACGAGTGGTGTTGATACCATATTTGAATGATCTTGTACCATCAGAGGGTGTATTTCTAGACCGATTATCTATCATGCAAGTAGTAATCGTACAGTATAGAACTGGGCTGTTTTATCTTGGAGGCGGTGCGGTAGTTGGACTGCTTTGCATAATTTTTGAGCAGTGCTGCGAAACGTCTTAAAGAGAGCGACCTAGTCCGTGACTCAACCTGGTAATTTCTTCGGTGGAAAATGTTTTTAAAATCCAAAATCCAACAGAAACACTATACCATAAGAGACTTGGAGTGTGGTGAAGCCTTTAGTTCGTGATGTTAGGATTTTGGGGTGTATAACATATGTTCATGTGTGTGATAATTTAAAATAAAAACTTGATAACATCATCATGCATTCTCTTAGGCATGAGTGAAGAGACAAAAGCCTATAACTTGTATGATCCAATCAAGATGGTTGTAAGTCATGGAATTAGGAGAAGATGAAGTAGAGCAAACTACTATTGATAGTGAAACAAGTAAGTCAAACAAGGTAGCCTACAATACAAATAACTATAGTGAAAATGAGAATGAGCTTGAAGTAAACATTGAATATCAATCTGAGATTAGAGAACGCCATAAAGAGTTACTATAGAATCAGTCTGAAGATAGAAATGAAGAGAATCGCAAACTTAGAAAAAGAAGAACAAAAAGACCTAGATATCTTGATGACTATTACATCATAGAGATGAAATTAATGAATCAGAAGCATTTCATAGTCATGTTGTATTCATTCCTAGTGAAGATCCAATTATCTATGAAGAGACATGTATAGCCTATTTGGATCCGCGGTGAAAAATGCCAAACTTGTGTTTTGGTACAGAAGCTACAAAGTGTAGCTTCTTGTTTTCATGGCAAAGTGGCTTGTAGACGTTTGTTTGATGAGTGAATAAGCTATTTCAAACATGCCATTAAGCATGGCATTTGGAAATTGAAGCAGTTGAAATGTTTTGGGTTAATTAGTTAATTTTTTAAATAATTTTTCATGTAAGGAAGTTGTTTACCGTGAAATTTGGTAAACAGCCGCTAGTATTTCAAAAATAAAGATAATTTCTTATTACTCGTAGGATCGACTAGATTGATCATAGAACATATGTCGCATATTGTGTTTATAGTGTTTTATAGATATTTGTTCTATGTCGAAAAGACAAATATGACAAATGTAAAAGTAAAAA